TATATATATATATATATATATATATATATATATATATATATATATTTCAATATAACTTCCAATTTGACCACAATTTTTTTTTTTTATTAGAATTACGTATTGTCCAACCTAGGTAGATGAGTAGTAGAGGTATTTAATTATTTTGGTTTCATCATGATTATGTTTGGCAGCCACCACAAGTCCTCTTGATTATGATCTGTTAATAAATTATAATCCAAACACAACCCTTTTTCATTCTTTCAATACTACCTTTTCCCATTCCAAAAGTTGTCCAAATGTGTTCTATCAACATATTATATTAAATAGGTAATTATGACTTGAAGATAATCAAGACCCTAAAGTAAGACCTACTTGACTAGTAGGCCACCTATTGTACCCAAACTCTATGGTCTTTTCAACTATAAAACGTCATGTCAAAAGCCTCATTATTGACCACAAATGATTTTATACATACCTGGAGGAATGAAATCAAAGGCAGATAGAAAAAGGAACAGAAAACAATTTTCACTGCATTATTTTACATTCCTTTACAACTTTTCAAATCTATCAAGGTAAGATATTTTTGTACAAGTGGTTTGTTTTCGTATACTTTTATATTCAATTGAATACATGAAATCCTACGGGAATTTAAGATGACCTAAGAAGGATGTGTTGCTTGGTCACCAATATACTTCGTAAGAGAAGAGTGGTATGAAGTGTATATCTATTGTTATATAATTATCTATGGAAATCGCACGTATCTTACTTGGTATTTTTTAAATACTCACTCTTACAAAAAAAATTTACAAGTTAGTTTGGATCGATTGGAACTATGGCAAGATGGTGATGCGAGATGTCCAGAGGATTTGAAGAAATAGAAATATTAAGTTTTTTTATCTCCTAGTTTATTAGTTAGTTTTATCTATTCAAAGACACGTTTATTAATTACTTAAATGATTGTGTTTAAATTTTTAGAAACTCGGATTCCACATTTTTATTGATATTTGTAGTTGAAAATCAAGGAATTACTTTCACTTAACAAATGCTGACATTTTTTTGAGGGGAGTCATCGTTAGGGTACTCTCGTTCCCCCTTTCTAGCCCTTGTTACTTTAATTCCCCAACCTACGAGCTCCAGCCTTCACCAATCTTTATCTTGATCTAATGAATGCTAACCTTTGGAAATGAAGATACCTAGAGGAAAAAAAGGATGCACTTGTATGCTTTTGTTAAGAGTGGTTAGCGTTCCGACCTTCGGAAATGTAAGTACCCAGGGCCAACAATGGATGAGAATACTTTATCAAATAGTGTCCCAAAAGTTATTGCACAAGCGTAGAAGTAATTTTAAATTATCCACCTGAATGGCGATCAACAAGAAAGAAACCAAACCTGAAGCATAAATGCCACCACTAATACTGTGGTAAGTAGTATAGTAGTTTCAAAAACATGGAAGTTTAAGTCCATAGGCTTCCCCACGATCCAACCAGCAACTGCAAAGAATGGAATCTGCATCGTCAAATAGTGAAAGAAATATAAGTTCGCTAAGATTTATAAATTCCCATAACTGCAAAAACTTTGACTTGCTAGCCGTTCATCACCTACCTACAAAAACAAAGTCGAAATTCCAACATAAATTGGGAAATGAAGAACAACAGGTTTCATTGTCTCGTTCTTTGGCTAAAGGACTTTTAACAATGATACACTAAACCATTAAGCAATTAAAGATTAATAATGAGGACCTGCAAGGCATTACCACAAACATTGATATCTGGGTGGACGATCCAATTGCAACTCCAAGTGTGAGATCCTGTAAAGTGGAAAGTCATAAATATTATTCCGCCAGTAGGGTGGTTTGAATTAACAAAAATAAATAACCTGACATGGATGGTTAATTGAATAGAAACACAAAGAAGAAATGGTTGGGCAGTTGCTATGATTTTGCAGGACTCACAAGCTTGTCTTTCATGGCAAACATTACAGCACTTGCATGTTCTGAAGCATTGCGCACAGATGGAATCAAAATGACACTAATATAACCCACTTGCATGTTCATTGAATCAGATACTTCCTGAAAATTTAACATCAACCCGGTCTGATCATCAATTTAAACAAACTGATGATTGTCCAACATTTAAATGATTACAGAAAAGAACTCCCACACATCAAATATGGAATGTGCAAAGAAAAGTGTTAAAAGATAAATGAATAAATTTGAAAAGGCATGGTGCAAAATGAAGTCTGGAAAGTGATTTCCAATCTTCTCTAGAGAAGAATCTAAAATTCTGATTTATCTTCATGACAGTAAGTATAAGCAGAATATATATTTTTAATTAATACATTTCAATAGAAAATTGAGTGTGTGCCCTTCTTTCCTTGACCAGTCAGGGACACTTAACAATCACTAGGCATAGACTATAAAATCTTCATATTAACAATGTGAAGAAGTTAAGAAATAGAACAATGCCACATCCAAGAATGTTTTCATCTGCATCACTCTCCCATAAAATGAAATCTTATACAGACAAAAGAAATTTGACATCAGATTCAAAATTCCTCAGTTGTAGGTAAAGCTTAGCAGGTCGGATCGAATTGAGGAACCAGTTGCTTACCGGGGAGCTTCTAAGCATAATATTTTGAACCCAATCACAGATAAAGGAATCATACTGAAGCGAAAGACATAGGGCTGTCTCGAGAAGATCTTTGATCCAACTGTTGCATAAACTCACTTCTAGGTACTAATAATCAAGGAAGACCCTATAATTGTGATGAATTGATGAGCACAAAATTATAAGCTGAAAACAGATAATATCTCTTCACTAGCTCGATGGGAAATATCCAATATTACTATTTTAGAATATACTCATATGTGTATAGTCATAAACTATGATGTTCAGACTCAAGTTCGGGTGTCGGAGGGAGTCAGATTCTTCTCATTTTAAAAATTAAGATGTAGGGATACAGTTAAAAAGGTGTTGAGATTCTCTTTCTTAAAATTAGTGATTGAATAGTTGTAAGAATCCCTTGAGGATAATTAGTATGCTGATTTTGTGCATAATTTCTTTTATTACTAGGTTTGTACACTAAAAATTGTAATTTTAGTATTCAATGAACATATAGAAATACCATCCACAAGATGGTATCAGAGCCACCCACCATTGAAACTTGAAAAGAAATTCAAAAGTTTGAATCTCTGAAACATTGAAAAATTAAAAACCAGTCCTTGAATTTATTATTATTATTATTTTTCAAAATTGAAACCAGAACGGAATTTTTAAGAATTTGCCACCACCATATCGGATTCAAACGTTCCTAAGCCATCAAAATTTCTGCAAATTCACTATGTCAACGCGTAGTGTAACACCTCGAATTTTTTTACTATTTTTCATATGGGGCCTAAACTTATTATTGGCCATTTAGCAAATGAAATAGTCCATGTCTAATCTTATTATCACACTAAGTTCAAACATTAAAAGATAAGCTCAACCCACTTATTCACATAAAATATTTATTTTGCTTACGTGTACTTTTAGAATTTATCGTAAGTTATTTTGGTCGAATATTTAAGTATTTTAGAAGTTGATGAAATATAGCAAATATTTTACTCATTTTGTAGCTCGTATTAAATAAAATAATTTATAACTAATAAAAATATTTTTTTACTAGTTGTATCCAGTGGCGGATCCAGAATTTTGAGCTAGTACGGGCGATCGTTGCCCATCGACCGTCGGCCTAATAAAATATCACAAGCTTGTTTGATGTAATATTTTTATTTTTTTGGGCAAAAAATGCATTTTGGAAAATAGTGATTTGATGGAAAATATGTGGTAAAAAATAAGGAAAAATTTTGAATTTCGTGTAATATTATTTTATTAAAGAATATATGGTTGAAAATAAAAGAGAGAAAAATATATTCTGAAATAAATGAGAATCAAGCAAGATCTAAAATTTAAGCATGACAATTATTTTGTTGAAATTCAACATATATAATTTTGTTAAAAGAATAAATCATATTCATTAAATGACATTGTTGCTAAGTTTTATATAATTCAAAAGAAGAGCACGGGTTCAAATCTTTATTGTTGCATTAAAACAAGCTAAGATCTAATATATATAAATTTGTTAAATCCATTATAATAACTCAACAACCGGCATAATGGTCAAATCATTAGTAATTTTAACAATAGCTTCAGGTTCGAATCCCCTCCTCATTCCATCAATTTTTGGTAAAAATGTTAAAACTAAAAAAATTGAACAATAAAAGTTGATTGATAAAGGATCGAACCTGGGACCTGAGAGATGTAAAAACCAGAACTGACCAACTTGGCCAGAAGCAACGTTTGAACGAAAAATGATTATAAAAAATATAACCTAAAAAATTCATCTATTCTCAACCAAAAAAAATGGCTGCAGTCGAATCCAGCACTTACGACCGCGGGTGCTTGCCAGGTGCTGGATCCGCTAGTGGTTGTGTCCGAATTATTTAATAGGAAAGAAGGTGTATTGTTGTAATATTTTATATATATAATATAATAACAAAGGCAATGACGGTTACTTGGAAAATTAAAGTTGATATTAGAATTTAATATAACTAATAATATTGATAATGAAAATTAAGTTTATTAAACTCATAAATTTCTAATTTATCTCCAAAAACATTTTGATTGAATTTTTAAAACTGAAGTCGTTTGATTTGATTGGAAGTTACATTTCAAAATTATAAATATAGGTCTTAAGGTGTTCCTGTTTTGTCTCAAGAAAATTTACAAGTTCAATTTCATACAAAAATCTATTTCCTCGTTTTTATACTATCAATTCAAGTCACAATTTTAGAATTTTGGTGACAATTGAGGTAATAATACATCGTGCAAAGTGGTAAATTTTTATTTCTTGATGTTTATATAAATTTTGGCATGAAATATTATAAGGCCTTCGGGTCGAATTATATGTTAAATCCTTCCAGATAAACCATTTTCAAGTATGTTAAATCCTACAGGATGGATATTTGGGTCAGTTATGTTAAATCCTACGGGATATGGAAATTCTTAAGAAACTTCTTCAGCTCTAAATCTAAAAAATGTCGATAGATTACGTCAGTTTTATATTTATATCATGTTAATAAGAATGTAGACGTATTCTTACTAGTGTTTTTCAAAATACTAACTCTTATAATAACTTTCAGATAAGAACGAGTCATGTGGACGCGTGAAAGATTGACCGAGTAATGCTTATAGGGTCGTTAAATAAAGTTTCCGAAAAATATAATTGTCAACTTTTATTTGAATAATATCTTTATGTTAATGCACGTTATTTAATATTCTTAGAGATCCAGCATTCGATATTTTATGTTAAATCTTAAATAAATATTTAGGAATGGAGTATTTCAAGAATTATATTTAATAAGAAAATTTTATTTAAGCTGTTATTTTATCATTATCGAATTATCGATCACATTTTCAAATTTCAACACTTAATATAAGTGTGTCGAAATCCCTAATTGATTGAGTAAAGATTGTCTTTTATTCCAATTACCATAGATAGGATATTGTGTTTTATTAAAATTGTAAGAGATTTATTTTTTCCTTTTCCATATATTCTCCTTGTACTATAAAAAGTTCAACTTACTGTACATTATGAGTGAGGAAAATAAAAGTTCTCTCCTGAGTTTTATCTTCATGGTATCAGAGCCAAAGGAAAGTTTTACCAGCTGTGATTTTTTCACTCGGACCTTCGTTTTCTTTTTGTGATCAACGTCTTCCTCTTCGGTTGTTGGTAACTATGTGGATTCCGGCCTCAAGTTTGTGTTTTTCCGATTCTAGTAGCACCGTTCGACATTTTCTCTCGAAACCTCAGGTCGAGCTCTCTTCAACCAGGTTGGGACGCATTTTCTTCCGATCATTGGCAGCGTCGTCGTGTCGTTTCCGTCTCCTCTCTGTGTTTCTCAGGTTCCAATGACACTAGTGAAGATATCTTCGATGACTTTTGGTCGGTCTTTGCCATTGGTGGCTTGGTTCACTGCCGTTCTTCTTCAGGTGTAGTTTGTGATTGTGTGAACGAATTTTTTGTTTTCAGTGGACTCTCTCAATTTTGGGCTTGCATTTACTATTAGGCGTTGGATTCTTCAGATTTTTAGCTTGCCTCTCTGCGTGGTTTCTTTTTAAGTAGATTTGGGCTAATATTTGTTGGGCCTAAATTAGTTTGGGCTGCCGTATTTTTCTTCTTTTTGGTGGATTAAATTTTTTTAGGCCGATTTTCATCATATCACATGAGATATCAGCTTCATTAGCCCACAAATATAATTTCTTTAGAGCCCGAAATTTTACCGCACCCCTTAAAGTGCCATGGATTATTGACTTAGGGGCATCCGATCATATGACAAATTCTTACAATTTGTTTGTTACATACTCACTCTGTGCTAGTAATCTTAAAGTTAAGATTACGGATGGTTCTCTTTCGACAGTTGCAGGAAAATGGAGTATTCAAATTTCTGACTCTATAACTTTAAAATTGGTCCTTCATGTTCCAAATTTATCGTGCAATTTACTATCTATAAGTCAGCTAACAAAAACTTCTTACAAAAATTTATCGATTTTCAAGTGATGGCAACTGACCTTAGGATCTATGTCTATCATGTCCTCATGCCTCCAAGCAAAGACATCGAGATTCCTACATAGGAAGAAGTCCTTTAGTTTCTCTTTCAAATCATTGGATAAACCCTTGCCCACTTTCAACATCTTAGTGGGGTCCCCAGGGTCCACCGAGAAGCTCTCGAACTCCTCAACTGGGATTGTCTAAGGTACATGCTCAGTCACGCGAGGGTCAATCTTCTCAACGATAAAAAGGGGTGTTATTTTATGTTGTTGTTGCTACCTTCCTTGATGTGCTGTTAACCAAGAATTACCTACAAAACCATACACCGCAGGCCCAACACAAACATTGACTAGCAATCTATAATACAAACAGCCTACAGCCCTACAGTAGCCCTTTCACTCAAAATCATCTAACTCAAGCCCAATTTATTCAGCCCAATTCATGCCTAGTACCCAGTCTATATCTATCTTACACAACCCC